AAAAAAAAAAAAAAAAAAAAAAAAAAAAAAAAAAAATTGAAAAATATATATACAAGCTTACTATAAAACTCGTATCAAATAATTTAATAAATTCCTATATATGTTTAATATTAAAAAAAAAAAAATTAAATTAAATTACAAAAACTAAAAAAAAAAAAAAAAAAAATATAAGATAAACAAATTATTAAAAAAAAAATAAATATACATACATAATATATATATATATATGTTTGTATATGTATTTATATAATAGAAGGTTATGAATTATATGTCTAATTAATTCATAACTAAAATGTTAAATTTACAAAAAAAGTAACAAAAAAAAAAAAAGAAAAAAAACAAATAATATAAAATAATACAAAATAATCAAAAATAATTTCCAAAAAATTCTAAAAAAAAATAACAAAAGACAAAAATATTTTAAGTGAATATTTAAACAATTACATTAGACAAACAATTCAATAAACAAAAAAATGCAAAAGAAAAAAATTACTCACTCCTTTTTAGTTATGAGACTTTATTGAAACAAAAAAAAAAAAAAAAAAATGTAATTAGAAATAAAAATAGAAACAAATAAAAACTTTTAAAGAAATTTCTCGCGTCTTGCGCTTAAGGGACAAAGGTAATGTTAGAATATTTTTACAGAATAACAAAAAAAATAAAAAAAAAAAAAAAAAAAAAAAAAAAAAAAAAAAAAAATAAAATAAAAATAAAAATAAAAAAAAAAGGAAAAAGAAAAAGAAAAAGAAAAAGAAAAAAAATTAATATCTGTATTTAAAATTATAAATTAAATGCATGCATAAAATACCTCAAAGAACATAGAATAAAAAAAAAAAAAAAAGAAAAATAATAAAAAATAGAAAATATTTAAGATATATATAAAAAAAATAAGGCAAAATATCATAAAAAAATAATATATTTCAATAAATACATCAAAAATATAAATAAATCTCAAATAAATATTATATATATATAATTGTAACAAGTTTTCATTTATGAATGAAGTATGTAAATGTGTAAATTTTCTGCACACATTAAATTTACCTAGTTCAAAATTTTAAATATATATGTTTTTGCACACATATTGCATTAAAATACAAAAAAAAAAAAAAAAAAAAAAAATATACATATATATCTTTTTTGTATTATTCATTTATTGAACAATATTTTAAGTATTTAAAAAATATGAAATTATTATTATTATTATTATTGTTATTAGGATTTTAAGAAAAAAAAGGAAAAAGCAAATTATCATTAATTAATAAACTTTAGAGAAAAATAAAGTTGCATATTTTTTTATTCCTGAAAAAAAAAAATACAAAAAAAATTTCCAAAAAAAAATAATTTATTCTTATTTTTTATGTAAAAGAATAATAAAAGAACTTATATTTCTACCATTCTAAAATAACATTTCTTTGAAATTCTCTAAAATATTTTATTAGACAAAAGTATTAAAAAAAAAATTATTAAAAAATATAAGAACATTTATTTTAAACATTTTTTTTTTTTTTTTGTGATACAAAAAAAATTAATATTTTTATTAAAAGAATATCTTAGACAAAAAATTATAATTAATTATATAATAAAAATTCAATTCAAAAACCCTATATATATATACGTGAAAAGACCATGATAATTTCAATAAGAGATACTTATTTTTAATTTTAATGAACTAGATTAAAAATAAATAAGAATATTACTTATGGTTTTATCTCAACAAATAAAAAAATACATACGGAAAATAAATTATAATATAAAAGAAATAATTTTTTATATTACATATTTAAATAGTGTTCATAAAAATTTATAAAAAAATAAAAAAAAATTCATTTTTTTTATTATGAAAAATTATATATTTTGAAATAATTTTTACTCTTTTAACTATTATTTTTTTTTTATAATAAATATTTTTATTACATTACACTAAAACATTTTTTTTTTTTTTAGTTAATAATTAAAGCATTTAAACATTCATTATACATTTTTGTTCTTTTAATTTATTCACTTTAATATTTTAATTATAATTTTCAAAAGTTACCTTTTAATTTTATATTTTAAATATTTTGCAATTTTTCTATATTAATTTCTTTCTTTCATTTCTAGCATAATAAGTGTATGAGTCTTATAATTATCTTGTCATAATAATTATGATATATATTTTTATAAACTACTTGATTTCTTTTCATAAAAATTCTTTCAATAAAAACAATTTAAATAATGAAGAAATATACAAATAAAATAAGTATATTATTCAATTAAATTATCTCAAAAAAAAATGAAAAAAAAATATTGCATGATGAAGAAAGTATTGTATATGTGTTACTCTTTTTTTAATTATCTTTTTATACATAACTTTTTTTAAAAAATATTTTCATACTGTTTTAAATATTTATTTTCATTATTATTATTTTATTTTATTTTATCTTACTTTTTTTTTTTTTTTTATTTTTTTTTTTTTTTTAATATTGCAAAATATTTTGTATATATATATATATATATATATATATGTAAATACTTGTAAGTTTCTTTTTATTTTTAAAAAAAAAACATCACTCATAATACTGAATTTTTATTTTTTAAAAGTATAAATATGTTATATATAGAATTTTTTGAAATAATTAATAATATTTATAGTTTTTACTTTAAATATTTTAAAATTTAATTTTTTGTGTCATGATATTCATTTCGTTTAAAGATAATATAATTTATGTTATTGAATAACTTGGAAAATTCTAATAAATAAAATTTAAAAGAAATTTTTTTTTTTTTTTAAAATGTTAAAGCTAGATTTTTTCAAATTAGCTAAAATGGGGCCAAGTAAAGGAAAGGGTCCTCTCATTGCTAAGTATGCCCCTTCTGGTTTTAAAAAAGGATTTGGTGCTATTGGATTAGGAAGACATACAAAAAAAGGTTTTTTAATGAAAAAAAAAAATATAATATTTGTTTAGGGAAAAGTTTCATTTTTTAGTTATTAATAATATATTAAGAAAATATTAATATATAATATGCGTTCATACTTTTTAATTAGGTTTTTTTATTATTAATAAAATGCTTGTACCAAATTTTCGAGTTCCTGATTTAAATAATTGTGAAGTAAAAAAAAAATAAAATAAAATAAAATAATAAAATAAAAGAAAAAATAATATATGGGTGTATATTTAAGTTAACAAATAATTAATTTTTATATAAATTGTCATTTAATAGATTTTTTTTTTTTTTTTTTTTTTTTTTTTTTTTTGAAGTTAAAGCCATATGTATCAAAAAAAACTCCATTAATTGTTATGAAAAAACAATTCGGTCCAAAAAAAAAAGTTATGAATTAAGTTTAATTATATTTTCAATTTTTTTCCTTGAATTTCCCCATCATTTAAATATATATGTAATATGTTTTTGTAATAAAATAAAAAATTTTAAGTAATACATGATGTGCATGTATATATATATATATATATTTTAATTGGTATATAATTTGAAGAATAAGAAATATATATCTCATTATAAAAAATATATACTACGTATATGTAATAAATTAATAAAATAAATAAAAAAATATAAAAAAAAATTATAAAATTATTATTTAAATTTAATATTTAAAAGTTTGTAAAAAAAAGTTCTAAATGCAAAGAAAGATATATATTTACATAGTGTGGAAATAATTTTTATAATTTAAAAAGTAATATATTTTAATAAAATGAAAAAAAAAGTAACATTAATATATATATCAAATATTATATTATAATAATTTATTTTATAATATCATAATGCATTTTAATAAATCTAAAATAAAATTAATTTTAACTAATAGTAATAATTATAAAAATATAGAGGAAGCTTTTCAATTTTTTTGTAAAGAAATTAATAGTAAAAGTGATGATGTAATATCAGAAGAGTTACAAGGAGAAGTTCTTTATATTGGGATTATTATTAAAAAAAATGTGAAATCTTTAAATAAAAGAAATATAAGGAATTGGTTAGAAAAAAGTATAAATTATAACATCAATGTTGATATATTACTACTAAATGAAAATAATGTAGAAATATCAACAATGTCAAATAAATTTCATTTATTACAAGAAAATTACTTTGAAAATGATTTTAAAAGAACTTACAAAAAATTGTTAGCAAAGAGAAAACGTAGCATTTATAATATGCAAGAGGATTTCTTAAAAATAAAAACAAATAATGATGAAACATTAGGTGACCATGTAGAAGACAAAAAATATAACAATGGATTGTATAATCTAGAAGAAATTCAGAAAGATAAAAATTTATTGGATGATGAATTAAATGATAACATTTTAATTGATCTAGATAACAATAAAAACTTAAAAAAAGAAATAGAAAAAATGTTTTTTTTAAATAACTCTTCATATTATATTGAAGGACTAATTTACTTAATTGAATTACCACTGACTATATCACAAAAATATATAAATAAAAAATTGAACTTAAGAATACAGTTATTTGAAAATATAAAAAGAGAGAAAAGTAAAAGTTTTACATTTTTAAATGAAAAATATGCAAATGATCTAAAAAATATATTCGATTCTCCACCATTACTATTAAATAATGTACAATGGTCTTCTACTTTCACCTCTAATGTTTTATATAAAAAAAAAAAAAAAAAAAATAGTGATACAGACGATGACGATGATGAAGAAAATAATTTCTTTTTAAATATCTATGACGAAAAAAATTATAAAGACAGTGAGAACAACTTTCCATTAAATGTAAATTTGCACAATATATGTAAATCATTAAATGAGTACGATGAATTCATGCATAAAAGCAATTCAAAATGTAATAATAAAAGTTTAACTTTAAATAAAACCATTATAGTTGTAAAACCATTAAATATAAGATATAAAATAATTGATCATTATCTTTATTTAGAAATTGAAAATATTACTAAAAACAATAAAATTGAAATATATGAATTATTTTCTAGATCGATAAATATCGATAGTAATATTTTTCCATTTTCTTTATATCCAGAAGATATGTACTCTTTTTTTTTTCCATTGACAAATTTTGTTCAACTTTTATCAATGAATAATTTAAAAAAAAAAAATTCCATAGAAAAAAAAAATAGTGAAGAAAAGATTAATAATACAAAGAATTCTAAAATTATAGAAAAATATAAAAATAATAATGAAATTTTAACATTTTGTTTTAATAGTGATAAAACAATTATATCATTATGTTTAAAATGGTGTATTGATAATAGCTCTAATAACTTTATATGGTCTCAATATTGTATAGAGGTAGAAATGCCAACTCAAAATTTATTTAATTTGCAGATTTCCTTTGTTAAAGAGATAAATTATTCTTCAATTTTAATTGCTATTTTCTCTTTTTATAATAATCATCATGAAGATATTGATTTAGTAATTCAAATCGAAGATGACAACAACTTAATTAATAACAAAATTCAATCATCTCTTATTTCTTTCAATTCATTAATTGAAGTAGGAGTAATTAAACCTTATCAATACAAATCAGTCAATGTTAAATTGCTAGCTATAATGTTAGGGTTACATAATATTCCTTATGTTAAAATTAAAAATAAGTTGACTAATAAAGTTTATTTAGTAGATTTAGGATCTATTCTTGTAACAGAATAAAAAAAAAAAAAAAAAAATTGATCTTAAAAAAAATCTATGTTAAATTCATTATATACATTTAATTAAAAATATAAATTAAAATGCATAATAAAATAAAAATATTTTTTTTTTTTTTTTTCCTATTTTTATATGCACTTGCAATATTTTCTTAATGAAATTTCCGTACTTCAATTTATATAAAATTGATTTTAAAATCTTTTAAATAGTATTTTATCTACTTGATATAAGAATCATATGTTTTTTTATTTTAATAAAAATGCTACATTTTCTTACTTTTATTAAATTAATATGAAGATTTTATAGATATATAAAATTTATGGAAAATATTTATTTGTATTTTTTAAAATGTTATCTTAAAAAAAAAAAAAAAAAAAAAAAGTTATATTAAAAATAACTTAAAAATAAAAGTATATACATATATATATATATATTATTTGTGTACACAGGGAAAAAAAAAAAAAAAAAAAATTCTATACATGTTCATATTTTAAAAAGAAATAGATAAGTTTCACAAGAGAAATAAAATTTTATTATATTTGAAAAATCCTTTTTTTTTTTTTT